CACCCAAGTTACCATGCACATCACTTACATGAAACCGTGCAGCTGTTTACATAGGCCGAATACAGCAGCTCCAGCCATGGATCTGTAGCTAAAATAGCAAACACTTTTCCGGGTGCTTTTGAATACTGGCTGTGGGGATGGTTATTCTTTTCTAATCAAATGTTTTGTTAAAACTAAATTTGTTGCGAGGCAGCCCGCAGAATGAGACGCGTTCGCGTAAGAGAGTGGGTCTTGCTTGAGTTTCTCTCTTGTCCGGAGTGTAGTGGAGAGAGCGCTCAAAACGGATACATTGATAAGGAATTGCTCCAGCTTCCCTCCTGGCATTGGTGAGGGAGAACATAGAAACGCCACTGTTGTTTTTTTTGTTTGTTTGTTTTATGCCTCTTTTGAGCATTATACAAATTGAGCGTCGCTTTAAGCTGCTGAACTAACTGCGACGCTGTTCCTACTTTGTAACAAACACGCTGCTTTCTCTTTTTCTTAGGGAGAACACTGAAAACAACAACACATCCACCAACAAACCCAACCAGCTCTCTCCCCTGGATGGGGGCAAACCGCTTATGTCCAGCTCCGAAGAAGAATTCTCCCCCCCACAAAGTCCGGATCAGAACTCAGTCCTTCTATTACAGGGAAACCTTAGCCACGCCAGGAGCTCCAACTATTCCCTGACCGGCTTAACAGCCTCTCAGACCAGCCACAGCCTTCAGGACTCCCTGCTAGGACCCCTCACCTCGAGCTTGGTAGATCTCGGCTCCTAAAAACAAGGAGACCAAGCAGCCGTGAAAGCAATGGAAACAGAGGTTTACCGCGGCGATAGGACACTCGATTGTAAATAGAGGACAGGACACAATTTTACAGCTTATCCGGCGATTCTTAACACGACTTTACACTCTTTTTGAAAACGTACCCAAGGAGTTTCCTCTCCTCTCCAACGCGCTTACAGCTTTCCCATTCTTTTTCTCCAAGTAGCCAAAAACGCAGAAAACGGCTGTTCCTTGTGATTTTTCCCTCATGACAACGTTCCTTCGAATTCAATTAAAAGCGTTTACCAACAGGAATTACAAAATAACTGGATGCTATTCGGGGGAGGGGGGAGAGAGAGAGATAGAAGAAGAGTATTTCTATAGTTGGGGAAATTTACTCTCATTTGAATTCTTAAGAAATAAGAGGGTGGATTAACCTACAAGGCCTTTTATTTGGGAAGGAGTTGGGAGGGAAAGTTAAGTTTACATTTTTCACATTTAGTGTTAACAACAGATTTTGGTGTAGATTAAATTTTAAAAAGATGCAGTATTAGAATAAAAACCAGTGCCTATGTCTTAAAGCAGATATACCAGGCAATTAGCTAGAGGAACTTCAATGACCATTAATAGAGCAAACATTCTTGTCTTTTATTTTTTGTGGTGAACTTTCAATGCATCAATGTGACTTAAACTAAAAATAAAAAAATAAATGTGGCTTCCTCTGAACAATATTCCTTATTTTATCCTGACAAGTTTCATGTCAATATTGCATACTCCTGTTAGACTGTCCTTTACTCTGTCTCCATAGTTTGTCTTGCAAAATGATGCAAATCTGGCAGTCTGGTTATTTGTGAAAAAAAGCATATGATTTCAGGTTTCTTTTCTATTGTACCCAAACAAGCCTAAATTAAATAATAATAATTAATAGAATACAAAGACTGTGATTTTATTTGCGAAGATGAGTTCTGTCTTATTCCAGGCTAGTGTTTCAATTTCGGTAGGGTTTATCTATTTCTTTTGCTGAGGTTACTTGAGGAGTAAAAACAAGGCCAGAGAGCTAGTTCAAAGAACTAGGTTGGTTCCCTATTGAATGATTGCTGTTTTGATTTTTGTTCAGTGTTTTTGGAAGCAGTCTTTATCCCTAGCTGTTTTCAGACACCTCTATCATTACCTGGCTTTTTCACTGTTAACAGTCTTGCTAACAAGAGAATGCAGGAAGGACCGCAAAGCATGTAATGGTAAAGCAGGAAAACAACACTAAAAATAACCCCTTACGTTGTTAACTTACATTGGAGTGCAAACTGGAGAGTGGGCAACCTCTTACTGCCAGATAAACAACAGAATTATTAATTGCAATAAATTTGGGGTAGTATTTAAAGGATAAACCTTATAGCTTCCGAATTCAGCTTAAAATCAGCAGGATAAATGAACTAGAAATTAAAATCCAACACCCCAGGCTTATTTGTGTTTCTCAGAGAGGACGGGGAGTGTCTCCCAAGGAAAGGCACATCCTTCAAAAACTCAGCTTCCTATCCCGGGCGAATTTGTCTCGTGTGGAGCTAAAATGTTATGCGTTTGTCTATGAAGGGCCCGATCCTGCGGTCCTCCCACTCAAACCACCGAGCGTTTTGCCGACGAGGGAAGCCCTTTATAAAGCGGAATTTGGCCTGGAGTAAGGATGCCAGGATCGGGCCCTTCCTGGGACAGGGCTAATGACAGGCACAAACCCGGCTGCTGGATTTCAATCCGTGAGTAGCAACAGGGGAGTTTGCCCATCTGGCTGCCGACTGGAACACGCCGCTTTCCCTGTGGTGGGCATTTGAATCCCCATTTTTTCTGGCTCTCCAGCCCTTCCTCTGCTCACTTGGGTTTGGCGGTAATGATCCCAAGCTGCCCTGTTAGTGTTTTGGATCATTAAGTATGTGTTTATTTAAGTCACTGCAGTGTTTACTCTCCAGGTCTTGGGCCATGGAGAAATGTCACCCTCTGCAGGAAGGTCTTTTCAGGAGGGATCTCTCCGCATTCTTCACATTCACTCCAAAAAACAAACAGGCTGCCTAAAGATAGCTCCCAATGACCCAGGCAGCGCTTCAAAGCTCACCGCGGAAATCTCCCCAGGAAGGACAATCCACTTCCATTTCTAACAGCTTCCTCAAACAGCTGCTTGAGGGCCAGATTTTCTGCTGTTGGTTGGCACCAGTGTAAATGCCCAGCCGATGGAGTCATGCTCCGGTTTGACACCGCAATGCAACGCGTAGCCCCTTCTCTGTATCAAGCTATCTTGCAAAACTAGTTGGGGGGGGGGGAGGTTGCACTTCAATAGAAATCACTGCAGCCTTTCGTGGTACTCTGATCCTGCAGAATCAGGTCAAATTGAGAAGGCAGAGATAAGGGGGCGACGGGACAGCGATCCGTGCTTCTAAACCCAACTAACCAGCTTTGCGCGGCAACCCTACACTTTTCTACAAGCTCCTACCAATTCGCAACCAGAGGTTGCTTTCTCAGGGTTTAGTTCAATTCTCGCGAGGTGAAAGTCACCCCGAGGAGAAAACCTCGGGAACTGCTGCCATCTCCGCCTTCACCCAGAACAGGCTTTTACAATAGCTTGATGTGTCCGATTGCCCTGTTAGCCGGAGAAAACTACAGAAGGAGGCTGAAAGGGGTTAGCGACCAGGTCTACCCCTCACATCTTCATTGAGAACATTTATGTTCAACCCTGTTTCCTTATAGTAGAATAGACTCATAACCATCATGACCATAATAAGCGATAATGGGACTTTTAGGGAGGCATCCCAACCATCTTTGCAAAGTAAAACCTAAGGGAGGGAAATAAAGGAAAGCAAATAGCAAATTAATAGCTAGTGGAGCCCTCTGCCCATGGCTTCTGGCTCCATGTTTTGGCCAGACCATCAGCAGGCCTATCTAAACCTGCCAACCAAAGGGGTCACCACTTTCTTTTTGCCCTTCATACA